TAAAGAAGTAGCAGAAACACTTGAAGTAGTTGGAACAGATATATTTGAAGTTGTCAGTAATGGTAATATTTTTTTTTTGTTTGTTGAACAGTTGCTTTTTTTTTTTTGTTTGTTGGGTAATATTAAAAGAGCTTACTCAATCATTAATCACAATCTTTATATTCATTAATTGTAATGATTGTGTATCATCTCAATCACTATTTAATCACACTTAGGAAGATGCTTAAGAGCACTCTAAGTTGTGAAATCTTGTATAAAAGAGATCTAAAAATCTTTAGCCAATCCTTCTATGCTCTTATTAGTAATATCTTGCATATTAACTTTGCTAAGCTAATAAAAATATTTTTCAGGCATAGTGGTCTTGCTAAGAACAACAAAAAAAAACCACTTATATCACCTGTTTCACATGAATTAAGGTTGATTTATTTATATATATGCTGGGTTATTCCATACTTGTGCATCTATACTAATGATCATTTTTTTCCCATTATAAATATCTTCGATCAATGTTTCGGGAATCATTCTGTTTATGGACTTCGCCGTCTTTTTGATGTTTGTTGAGAAAATCTCTATGTACTTACTTATCAATGTTACATTGTATTTTTCACGTTTAGTAAGCAAGACATCGACACTAAGCATAATTCTGAACTTAACGCCTATGATACTGCATGTGATACCATGTTTAATAAAATTTTTGCCAATTGTGATGCCCAACTCATCACCGAGCTTGCCAATTATAATGCCAAATTTATAACCAAACTCACCAATTACCATGTCAAATTTAATGCTGAACTTATCTCACATGATGAAAACTTTATAGCGGAGGTCCAAAAAATCTTAACAATGCCTATAGTGAGACTTGATGAGATCGAACAAGTTCTTTAAAGAATCGAACCTATTGAAGAAGCAGAACCTGGAGATGATACAGATTAATCTAAAGCATCTTCTGGTTCGAGCCAACGATTATTTTCAGATACGACTTCAGAAATATGGTAAAAAAAAAATGCTCTTTTGATGGCATGTGTATTGTTGTAATAGTTGAACTTAATGCTCTCAGGTGGAAAAAATTGGTAAAGATTCAATTAAAAATTATTATCGTAAAATCAATGAATTAAGAGATAGCAATTTAGATAAAATAGATACTTGGATCAATAGCAAAATAGTTACACGTAATAGTGAGTAGCAGGATAGAAACTGCCAATATATGGGTTAGAGTTCGGCAGGCTTTCGAGCAGGCATGTTCTTTTATGCCTTTCCTCTCTTGGAACAACCTGCTACCCTGTTATTTTTACTTTCATTTTTACTTAGTCAGCCAGCTATTTCTTATATGTTATTTTACAAAAAAGTATTTATTTTAAAATTTTTTAAATGTTTGTGCATGTTTGGTGTTCACTTGTTAAAAATATAAATCATAGACCCTATTTAATGAATATGTCTGCCTTTTCCAAAATATAATATTTTACCGATTGAGACTGGAAGCTCACAGTGTTTTTTTCTAAGTGATAAGCAAATATGTTGCTTCTCAACACTTCATTTAATTCATCATTTTTATTGAAATGTTTCTTAAATGCTAAAAAGCTAAGCTTCTCAGACTTCAACAAATCATTGATAATACTCTTTCCTACTTTGTAATGTGGATTATTTGGAAGAAGTTGTGCAGATTGGAATTTCTTTTCAATTTTGGCTAAAACTTGCCATTTAATGACCAAAGAAGAAAGAGCCAGTAAAAAGCAGAGTTACGAAATTTATGTGATTCAAAAATAATAAAGCCAATTCCTACCTTCGAAGGATTGTCCAGCCACAAAATCATCTGCCACAGCCTGCAATTCTACAATACGACCACCAACCAATTCATATAAATTTTTCACTTTTATTTCATTGATCTTGCACTTCTTATTTAGGTATTCCATTGATTCTTCTTTACTAAGGTCACTGATTTTCACTAGTTGTTTTGTATGTGACCAGACACTACGTGCTAAAAATAAAAATCACAATATATAAATAATATATATAAATAATACTAATTTTAGAAAGCACAAAATAATATTAGTACTTACATTTCATTCTTCTAGGTATCGAATCTTCACTGCTGACAAATACAGCGACATATTGTCTGTCATCAGCATTTTTTTAGCATTATCTTGAAGAATATCAAGAATTTTGAGTTCTCATTAAGGGGAGCGCCATTTATCACCTGATTTTTTAGGGTAGGGGGGGGTCAGAAAATTATCAGGTCCTAATAGTAGATAACTTTTGATTGGCTAAAATTTTTTAAAATTTTTTAAAAA